CTTTATTATTAATGGGTATACTTGCTCCTGCCATATGAATGTGGAATTTCCACCACTAGCTTAAGGGCTATAAACATGACATGAGCCAACATGCTGTTTTCACTTGAACGCGAAATCACTTTTGAGATTTTTTGATCGCGAAGAGCAAATACAAAAATAATTTTTCCAACTACACCGATTTACCGAGTAGGCACGGTTCGTAGCTAACGTTGGACGTGCTTAATAAAGCTGCTCGTGGAAACAATGCACACACGATTTTGAGATTTTAATTAAAACGGCATTATTCCACAAACAGCCACACACTATTAAATGATGCATCAAAGTGGACAGATGTACTGTGCAGGGAGATGGAGACGAATGGGGCAGTGCGGACATCGAGACAAATTGATAGCAGACGCTGATGGACGGATGTGAGCTGCCTGCATGGCTAAGTGCCAAGGCTCTCTCTCTCTCTCCCCATTCTCATCGCTAATTGCTGCAAACGTGAACATCAATATGTTTACATGCGTAGAGTGCTCCCGTTTGCACTGTATGCCACTTTTCAAAAGTAGTTTTTTTGCTAAAATTGTATGCGTGTCGATGATCCTACAGTATTCCCTACTGGAATACACATTTGTTTGCCAGTGTCTTTCGGCCTCATTCGAAGATATTTGCAATAAAATAACCACATTGTTGTACCTTATATGTACGATGTTTCTGCCATGCCTCTTTACAGCACACTGTTCAGGTGCACTTATTTATTGCGACGAAAACTCGCCAAGAATATTGCGAATACACTGGAACAAATTAAATCCATGCATTAGGAGCAATAACGCGCTACCGCCACCATCGCCGATGCAATGTTAAATTCAATAACATCTCAAATACAATACTCGCGCAATCGCCCCCTATGATTTTACATCCAGTGCCATCCTAATGGCATTTTCTCTATTTTCCTAACATGCGGCATATGTAGAAGATCAAATCGCGTCGTTCGCACGGATGGAAACCAGCGCGAACGTTGAGATATTTCTGGCAACCGTAGTCAAGTCGAGGTAATAAATCTCGCTGTTCCACCTGTTTGAATATTTCAAACTCTCATTCGACCTGAAACTGCCACTTGTAACTCGATCGGAACCACTGCATCAAGCACACCTCTGATCGGCTGTGATGTTCTCTTTAAATCCTCGTAAATAACCGACTTGCCGTCGTAAAAACCGGACGTCACTGCGATTTCTTCAGCGTGCACAGGTGCCCCGTAAACAACCGTTACGTTTGACGGATGATTATTTGCAAATGAACATGCACTGAAAATCCATTAAAGCAAAAGACAATCGTTTCAACGTTTAGCGGTTTTGTGTGTGCACGTAGTGTGAGTTTGCTTTTATCTACCCACTGTAATTTTTAATGCTTTTGTTCTCACAATCAGAACAACACCTGGACCCCACCCCCCTCCCCACTTTGGTTAACCAGTGCGCGAGAGGGACGGCAGGTAGCACCACATACCACACGCGTCTTATCAGACTGTCCTGCAATTTTCTCTGCATCTCCGCCATCATTGCGTGCTGCTCCCTCGACAGATGGCAGACACCCCTTCGATTAGGGCCGGGTATCTCCGCGGACTATCAGCGTGCTCGCTTCCTGCCTCCCCCGCCCCGGCCTGCCCTGTACCCCCCCCCACCACCACCACCACACTCCCCGTGCCGCAAAGACCCCTGCCGCCCCCTACCCTTCCTCTCTCCCGCTAGGGTCGTCCCAGCCGGCAGGCTCCTAATGGTAGGACATTAGGCCTGTCTAATTGACTCCGGCTGCCGCGCCCCATTGTCTGCACAGAGCAAACAGCCTCGGGCAGGTAAGGCGATCCGGGAGGCGAGGGACTGGTGGGGCGGGTGGCTGCCTGGTGGGGCGGTGAGCAGCAGCGGTGGGGTTAGCCTCCTCCCGTCCCCAGGCGTTGGGATCCACCACTGACAGCGGCCGGATTAGCGGCGGAGAAACACTATCTGTTTGTTTTGGCAGCCGCGACCACGCTGGGAGCGCACACGGCAGCCTTCAGACAAGGGGGGGGCCGCGCTGCCGTTTGTTTGCGTATTTACGCTTTTATCAGATGGTCCACACACCACCGGGCGATGGCGAGCAAAAACAGGAGAAGAAGCTTGACAACCGGGCTGCTCCTTCTCAGTGAGCAATTAAAGGAAGCCGTTACCCCCTCCTTCAGTTTGACCGCTACTTTTTTTTCTTGTTTTTGCACAAGCACCCGGGTAATTGCAGGCGATTAATCCAAGCGTGTGATACTTATACGACCTTTGGCTCGCCAGGCTCTGTGAATGTAGTTGTGAGTGGGGGGGGCTCTCCCTGAGAGAAGTCAAGTGCAGATGTGACGTTTAAAAGGTGCCTAGTTCCTTCCTACCACTGATCGCGCTGCTGATAGCCAATAATATTTAAGCACGGTTTGGCTCCCCCATTTCGACCCGCAGTCAAATGGGTAAAGCACATACCGGATGTTGCCTTAACGCATCACTTGTAATGGACGTCGGACAAAATCTCCAATCTAATGGCACCGACATAGGCAAACTAAATTATTATAGCAATAACATCTAAAGTTATCCAACATATTCATCCACTAGCAAGCACACCCACATGTACATAATAAGGCTTACGCACATATACAGCCACGCATAAGCCAAAATACTATAAAATTATATGGTACTCTTACAGCCAATGCAATGAACACATTTAAAAATGTAGTTATAACCATGCAATGCAAACACGGTCCATTTGTGCACTATTTAATTTACCACCGCACGCTTATGTTCGCAACAAAATACAATAACTGCAATGGACTGTATGCAAGATAGAAAATGTGTGTTGCAACGACTGCATGGTTTCGGTGAGATAGATTTTTATGGGTGCTCTAGACGGGCATCATCGAGTCAATTTCTGCAGCGCAAGTGTTCACATCCTTCCTGCCGTCGATGCACAAATTAAATTTTGATACTCATAACGCTGTAACCTGCACTCACAGTCACATCCTTCCACATAAGGTCACAGACAAACTGTGGCAAAAATGCTAAGCGCCTGAAGGGCTCTGCATAATAAACCCAGTTAGTTATTTATAACATTGCTTTAAAAAGAGAGCAAAAAAAAACCAGTTACTACATTCTTAATGGGTTTACTGGTAAGAGAGTGCAAAAGTGGCTGTAAAACTGCTTTCGGGACAATGTGGCCGAGTGCTGTTAGCTCAATTAAAGCAATTAAAGAAGACTGGCGATTAGCAAAGGGTGTATTCGCGATGGCCACAAAAGCGCCGACGACATCTGTTCCTCCACGCAGTATCATGGGTTATTTCTTTTTTTTCTCGAGGGGATATTGGGCCAAGTGTGCCATCACTTGGTGGAAGTTAAGTGTAGGCCCGTGGCTGCTAAAACATCCCATGCGAGTTCTTTCAAAAGCCGGCCATTGTGCCCATGCTGGGACAAAATTTATTACCTGCCCAAAGTTGAAATTGCTTGTGAACACAAAGAGCGGCTCTTTGTAAATAAGCTCTGGGACATTAACAGAGCTGCCTTGTTTGAACAAAAAACTAAACTCTACGTGAATTAAAAGAAGTTTAATAAATTGAAATTGACCATATTATTCACGTCGAGTATAAAAAGAAATCAAATATGCAGAAACATGACAATGTAATAAACTCAACTTTACTTGCCAAAATGTAAATTATAATTGTTTGTTTTCCCAAATGGACGCCTGTTGCAGAAAAATCGTCCCACGCTGTGGATTTTTTGGAATGAATTGGCAAGGAGAACTGAAAGGCCGCGCAAACATGCCAAGGTCCACGTAGCCACCGCTTAGTCTGCTTTGAATACGGCAGAAACACAGTGAAATCCCTCCCCATTAATCAGCGTGGTGGTAATGAATTTCATATTAACCTTATGAAAACACTCCAATAGGCTTTTAAGTGAAGGGTTTAGTGTCGCGATACAGGATAGCCACTGATGCACGAAGTCTGAAACCCAAAAGGCAATGCTGATTATAGATTTGTTCCTTGTATGGATTTCAAAGCAAATTCATGTCGAAGGTTCTACATCGGAAATTGTTTGCCTATATGAGTTATATTTGACGAGCGCGGAAAATGATTTTTTTAAAATGAAATACTACTCATGAGTGCTCCATATTTTGCTACCGGGCATGCATTTGCAGTGTTCTAACATTATTAATCAACTTAATGGATAATCATCATTTGATGAATCCATTAATGTGAAACTGCGCTGAAGATAAATGTCAGACCACCCATTTCTCATTAAGTTAACTTAATGGACAGAGTCCATGAGAAAGTAAAAAAAAACCCCATAAAAAATGAAATCTGCTAAAAAACAGAAACTGAATCCTCGGTGCAAAGGGGTTTGTGTCCATCTGCTCCCTTCGAAAGAGCATATGTCACGGACATTACGGCCAAAGGACAGCTCATCTGCTGACACCAGACATCGGCACACAAGGTCATGTTACCACCATGGCAATCGGGACAGATTGCGCCAAAGTGCACTTCTGATTGCACACACACTGAACATATAATTCGAATGTTTTTTTATTTAATAAATTTTGCATACGTTTTTAATGCATCAAATACCCTAAAATAATCCACACTAAATGTAATTTCTCCTTTTGTTTATACCTCCTCACTCTTCATGAATTATAAACTTAATGCGACACCATTATTGCATTCTTGCAAAATCATCAATTTGAGGAGGCACGCCCAGAGCCGTTAGCGGACGTTTATATATTTATTTTAAACCGTGAAATAATTTTTGCAATATCGGAAGCGAGCCGGACTACAATGGGGCACTGGTGAAAACCCATCGTTTGTTTTAAAACGTCCCTCCACTCTTTTTCGCTCTTTCATTTCAAGAGCCCCGGATGAAACGCCCCGGGGCGGGATGGAATGGCCCTGAAAATCGTGAGCGCACGTGGATGTTATTCCTGTAAACGGCGCTCGTGTCCCTCCTGCACGGCGCGCGCCGGCTTACCGTACGTGGTGATCATTTTGCTGGCCTCCCTGAAGAGCAAGATGCCGTTGGGCGAGATCACATCAAACTGTAACCTCTGGGACCTGCCGGAACACACGCCATTCGTTGGCGCAATTTATTGGACGCATTGATCATCAAAATTACTACTAAATGTCAATCTGTCCAGCTGTAAGCAACAAACGGCGTGAGCACACACACACACACAGCCTGGCCCACCGGCAAACCAGAGCGCATCAGCAGCAATGGATGTATATGCAGGGGGAGGGGTGGAAAACATGCCATGACCAATGCATCGGATATTTCTTTTTAGTCTATTTTTTAATAAACTGCTTTTTTCTCACTGAAGTTAATCCATCATACTTTGGGCTCGTGTGTCTGGAAGCCTTTTTTTATCGGCCGTAACTTAAAACCTACATCGCATTAACGAACGCTGTACCTATGCTCAAAGTACGAAACACCAATGAATCTTTAATTCGTTCATTTATTTTATTACTTTTCTTCTTTCCGAAGACACAATCTCAACGCAAACACTTGCTTAATCACGCACCATTTACTTCGGCCGCAGCTTTACATTCAAACAACACGAGGGCACGTCTTGCGACCGACGGGCTTTCACCTGCCCCCCATTCTCGGCGTCCTCTCTCATAACCCTGCCAAACACTGGGGCGCCCTACGACGCGCGCGCACGCCTCGAGGCCTCGGCCCGCGACGCTGAACGCCCCTTGCGGTGTGTGCACGCACGCGTGTGTGCCCGTGTGTTTTGAGGCCTCCGTCCGTCTCCCCGCGGGAGGTCCCCCCCCCCCCCCACCCCTTACCTGTTCTGCACAAGCTCGGCGACTAACTTGAGGATGGGGGTCGTGCAGGCCGGCTCCAGGTACCAGAGCTCAATGGCTCGCAGGAAAACGGGCATGTACGTCGGGTAACTGCATGCGCGCGAGACAGCGTTGGGCTCCGCTAAGGAAATCAGCGTGGGGCACCGGCCACCTTACACCAAGACGTGCATGGGGACCAAGGCACGGAGAGGTACAATCCAACTAATGCAGGTTTCTGTGGACTACTCCGGCCCTGGATACTGTTATACCGCTTTCTTTTGGCAACCACAATAAAAGCAAAAAAATATATATACTAAAAGCGGCTCAGTTTACCCACTTCAATATACATTCCCTAATAGAGCAGAACCAGTTCAACAACGAGGCCAGAACCGCACGGTGCACAACACAATGTGTTTGGTTGTAAAGTGAGGGAGAATTAATTACGAATTTGTTTTTTAAAGCACGAGAATTTTTTTAGAAATCGCATTACCAGCTGCAAAAGCAGCGCATTCATCAGAAAAAGGATCAAATGAGGCTGCTGGGACCGCTTTTTTGAGGAGTTAAAACCGGCTGTAAAGAGCCAACGCCATTTCCTTACCAAATTGAATCAGGCCACATCAAGCACAACAGGACACCCTTTAATTAAGCAATATAAGGCCAAGCATGTGCACATTATAGGTAATTTGAGGATAGCTGCCGTGTTAGAGGTTGCCTGTGCCAAGAGCTGCAGTTGCAGCAGCTTTGCCCACATCACAATAACAGCCTTTTATTGCATTACTGCAAACACACATTACCCTTAAAATGCATTAAATAGCCATTTAGTGGCTCCTGTTCGTTGAAAGCCTAAAATCACGTCAAGTAATTAAAATCTTTCAAAATTAATAATGTACCCTATAAGTAAACCCTGAAGTGAATCAGATTTGATAAGTAAAGGGCCTTTGCGCATCAAACACATTCTTGCGTCATGTAAAAAAAACCTACACGGAGTTTCACTGGATTCCCTTTTTGCTACTGCGATTTAATCATCAATATTGGGCACAGCCTTTTTGGGACCAGGTTTCCGATGAAAATAAACTCTTAGGTAGCCAACCTAAACATTCGAAGATTCGTCTGGAAAACATTACGTCTGGCGCTGCTGCCTACTGTATTTTCCTGGCAGAGGGTATGCACAGTTGTCCGACCTCAAGGTCATAGGACCTGGGACATGGGGGAGTAGCCCATCATGTAAATGCTGTTTGGCATGTGTGGCGGGTCCAATCTTCAGACTTACGGTAGGCAATGCAAACTTGTACTGGATATTAACGTTACAATGTAAATAACCTCAGACAATGCGTTTCTTTATAACTGCCGAAATCGCTAGATGTTAAGGAATTGAAAATGTTTGTATTTCCGAGAGCATTGTACCTGCCATGAAAAAAAACATATCAGTGAGTAAAGAAATTATCGAAGTAAAATATCTCACTGAAAGACGCTCACTGACAATTATGTTTGGCATGGTTTTCTTGAGTGGCAACTACTGGACCAGCGCTAAAAACTTGAACCGTTACAGCACTGACAGGGGGGGTTGCAGTGAGAAGCTGCAACTCAGGGCATAGGCAGTTTGTGCGCAAGGCACAATGTACACAGGTGTTGTGCTTGCTTCTATAGGTAAGCACCCACTAAGTCGCTTAAGCACAAAAACATGTTTTTGTCAAAGTACGCTCTCTACTGCCATCTTCTGCTGCATACTAAAGGATCTACATTGGCATAAGCCACCTTGAAACACCTAATATTGCTGTTGCAGATTTTTGCTTTTTGCAAACTCATCTGAACAACACGTTAGAGTAACAATAGGGTTTTTCCCCTTTTTTTTCTGGCAACAAAACTGAAACCTTTTGACGAGGATTCATGTCTGCATTAACCACAATATCTGCAGTCAAAATGCAAACAAAAAACATACTATGATAATATATGCATTGTCCTTGAAACTGATTGGTCCACACCAGTTTTGTTGCCAGAAAAAAACCCTATTATTACATTTTGGTACTGGCAAAGGAGGTCTAATGATGTAGAACACGTTAAAGTTTTGATTGTTATACCTAAACCAAAAAAATAGAACATGTATCTCGCAAAGGGTTAGTCTGCTGCGAAATGACACCTGGCGAAAATAACCTTTCTGCACACATTAAGGCGATTAAGCATCCAGATATTACTTTTTGATGTCACATGTGTTACGCAAAGTGGAGACTCAACGCGGTGGACAGTGCAAACAAAAGCCAAGGCTGAGGGGAGGAGAGGCATAGAGCACCAGCTTCGCAGCAGCAGCAGCAGCATCATCTAATCCCAGGTAATCCCCATCACTGTATCAGTTAAACGCAGACATGCGTTGTGTGCACACCTCTGGCAAACAAGAGGTGAGCGTCCCATTTCATCGGCGGGAAGGAGCAGTGTGTTTACGTTGCGTGAAGGATACAGCCAGTCAAACAGCATCATGTAGCTGGTCTTGCTGTTGAAAGCGAACGCTATTCCTCTTAAGTCCCGCGCGAGGCCAACGAGTGTTCTCTGTTTAAATAGCACAGAACATGGAAACAAGTCAACAAATCAAATTTTGTTTTTTTAAACGCGTAAACGGTTACGGACTTTTTAAGTATACATTCGTCATGAGCCCTGTGCAAACTCTCTGTAACGGCATTAATCCAGTGATTGAGTGGTGATGCGTTGATTCGTCGGCCAAAATCGATTAGTACGATCACGATGAATGTATAAAATACATGTAAGAATCGTTTTAACCAATTAACACAAATTACATGTTACACTCATGTTACATTTAAGACAAAAGCGTGAGCAACATTGTACACTCAAAACAGAACACATCAGAAACAATAGAAACGAGACGACAATAATAATTGATTCTTTAATCAAATCGCTACATTTCTCCAAATCCCTGGAGCAGTGGGGGGATGAACGATAAGACGCCCAATCATCAGACATTATCTACTGCTGCATACCTTTGTCAGTTAATATAGGCGCTTAAGCTCACGATACATGAGTCGAATTGTAAATGCAAGGTTGAATATTTCTGATTTGTATATCTTATATTGTAATGGGTTCACATCACTCCTGCAGCCATTTCAGCAGTATATAAAAACAATCGATTCTGTGATTGAATCTGCAGTCTAAATAGTGACAATTCCTGAACTTGGTACTCAGCTGATAGTACCCGAGTTGGATTCTCTACAAAGTGAGAATTTAAAATCTGTAAATGTTTAATGATTACTGCCTATAATATCTATTGATGAAGTACAGCCTTGACGTATCATTAAATCATCACTTACGTTTTCTGCTGCCATTGCCAAAACAGTGCCATTGCTTGACTGTTCAATGTAAATACTGAGAGTGTTAGACTTCATTAAGGTTTTATTTTAAGCTTGGTATGCTCCTGCACTGGGTCCTGATTAGCACGGTTAGCTACATACGGTGCGGAAGAAGTTCAACATACATACAGCAAAAAATGCGTTATTATATTATAATAACAATTGTGATTCCTTTGTATGCCAGTCCTGTTAGCTAGTGCAACAGGAGTTCCGCCCATAGTTTCGTACGCGGCACCACGCGCTGAGCCATAATAAGGAACATTCCGCGCGATCCGGAATCGCTTGCTGCTCCGCACTTCAGTCAACTTGAAAGCAGTTGATGCATTGGCCATCGTCAATCAGTATGAGCAGCAACCCATGTCCTGGTGGCTGCGCTGCAGTGCGATGAGTGCACCCTGACTAAGCGCTAAGAATGGATCGGTGGAACGTCATACATTTTCGGATGCTTTTTTTTTCACCCCGGCTAGGTGTCATATATCATGGTAAAACAAGCAAAGTTCTGACGTTAACGCTGAATGAAATGCATTGCAAGGTCTGGCTTGAATGCCGGTGGCAAAGACAGCTAAGCGAGATTGAAACGCTTCTCGAGGGCAAAAGGTGTTTCTAGAGAAGCCATGTCGTGAGAAGGGATGGTGGTCAGTGGTCGAGACGAGGGACGGAGCGGCAGCCGAGGGTGGGGAACGTGCCCTAGGGGCTGTCCACCGCCTAGAACAGGTGATTACATTTGTGCAAGCGAAAGGTGGATTTCTCCATCGCTAAACCATGAGATGGTGGATGGCATCAGGATGTCTTCGTGCAGCATCGATCATGGCTGATGACGATGGCAAGCAAATGGATAGATGGCAGGGTCTTGCCATTTCTTGTGTTCGGTTTGTTTTTTTGGTATGTGGCAGTTACGTGAATTTTGACATAAATCTATCCAGCTAGCATTGAGCCAGAAGTCTAGAAAACATTTTTGTAAAAAGGAACAAAACAAAAAAAACATCGGACGAAGAAAAAAAAAACATCAAACAAAAAAAAAGATGGATTGAAATTTGAGTCCGGTTAAGCATTTTGTCAAGTTGGCACTCAGTGTCGCGTGTAACGTTACCCGTCGCTTGTGCGCAAATCTCCGCACGAACGCACTTTCATCATTCCTCACCCCGCCGCACTGCGAGTGCACCTGGCTCGTCAGGTGTACTCGGTCTGATCCTCCCGACATTGCTTTATTAGCATGTCGAACAACATTTAATTACCTGAATATTTACAACCCTTTTTGTTAGCCTATTAAAGAGAGCAGACCTCCAAGTCAATGGCGATGCGCTGACACACGCAGTAATTGACGCGCGCCTCCAAATAATAAATACAATAACGCCACCGCCAGCCAAAATAAATAAATTATTCGGACAGGGCACGGGTGCAATGAAAGAAGGAAATTGCTGCGACTAGTTCTGCAAAAGAAAAGCACCGTGGAAACAGGTGAGGACCTGGCCTGTAATTAATCACACGGTGTAACAAAGGGGTCCGACAGGCCCGCGAGGCCTCCGACTCGGAATTTACACGCGCTTTTATTAACTGCAGCTAAAAGGGGGAGCGCGCAACAAATAAATTTCAAATACATTATTCATGCACGGCAGAGCCCGGGGGCCAGGCCTAGAGGGGCGGGTGCCCAATCAAACAGCTGCTCCTGCACGATACGCCTGCCAATCACGCAAACAAACAAACAGCCGACGATGACGACGACGACAAGCCCCCGAGCCCATCGCCACCAATGCACACACACTGCCACACACTGCGCAAAAAGCCGCACGAGCCCACGAAGCCACACTGGGTGGCAGGCCCTCCATCAACTGGTGAGCCTGTGATGACGACATCTGCACAAAAGCGAGGCTACAGCAGGTCTCGTGGGCTAGGCAGGGTGCATCATCCCACATTAACCGATCGATGAATGGACACGATGGTTGTTGCACAATTTACAAATGAATGGGGATTGGTTCAATGTACAAAAATGATCTGTGGCTTTAGCATGAGGCCTGATCTAAACACCCTTATTAATAATGATGCTTGACTTTTATTTAGAATGCTAAGAGAATGATCAAATGGTACTTTATCATAGGCTCGGTTTCTTCACTAACATGACTGCTAGTATGGCCGGCCAATGTGACCTGCCATCTTAATTTCATCTGTTTATCAGGGTCAGCCTCGCTAAGACTCAAAGCTCTTCTTAAAGAGGGTATTCCACTGCAATGTTAAGCCAATACATTTTTAAGCAGGGCTTTACACTTGGGAAGAAAATAAAGGACCCAGAAATTACCCACACATACCATGATGGCATAAGACTCAATAGTTCCACACAGATGAGTTCACAAACTCATTTACTCTACTGCCATCTCCTGACCAACTTGTAGGCCAGTGAATTTGAGAGTTTCACAAACCTACGGGATCCAACAAAAACTGCCTCCACTATGTGTGTGCCACCATGACCAGCACTTATGGCAGGGGTAAGAACCCTTATCCTTACCGATGGCCAAGAAGGACTTTAAATTACCATTAGTAGGCCACACATTAATCCACACCTCAGTCTGTGACTGAGCGCACTAATATTAGGAGCATAGTGTTGCCAGGTTGAAAATAGTCCCGTCTAGTACACAATGGAGTGCGGCTATGATACATGCAGTGATGGATTAATATCGTGTGCCTGTTCCAAGTGGCAGACCTCATGTGACCATAGGTCATGTGACATGATACAAAGTGGATGTGGCCTGGGTGCTGGGTGGGAGGTTCCCCACCCCTGGCTTATGGCATACACAACTTAATAAAGGTGGTGAGATGCCACTATGATGTGCAGGGAAAGCCATGGAGCAAGAGCCATTACCTTGGCCTCTTCCTGGTTGAAGTTGCTGGAGTTGAACATTCGTACCACGACTTCGAATGCTGCCGTCAGCGGGAGGATGAATTGTTCAAACTGGTCTTCGTCCTCGCCTGAGTGAAAAAACATTTTACGTTTCAGCGAGAGGCAGAGACAGTGGTTCTGATTAACAGATATGCAGGGCCATTAAAAAGACACGTGCGTACTTTTAAATTACCACAAAGTACGATTTTGTATCTGAAAATTGGTAATTGCTATGCAGATGAAAAAAATAATTAATCATTGCAGCAATGAAATCCATGACAATTTCCCACCCCCCGCCGGTGAATTGTCACAATTCAGAATCGTAATTTAATTAAAGAATAGATATTTTTAACAGTGGTGCGTTGTAGCGCCTCTAGTGGCCGCACGGGTCATGTGAAACTATAACGTACAATGTATTTCATGCATGTATTGTAAACGCTCAAATATTTTTAAGAGATGAATCAATGCAACAATGTGGCTTCACTGGACCAACTTTCAAAATGTATAAAATATTAAGTCAAATATATTGAAATTACATTTGTCTATTGAGATGCACATTGTATCACCAGAGGTCGTATTTTCTTTAGCAACTTGTATTTTCTTTAGCAACTCGGCTCACGGATGATTCATCACGGCAGCAAACTGGTGCTAATGGTGCTGTGGAGAGTTGGGACCAGCACTGGCGAGTAGACCATTCTTACTCACCCAGATCGACTATGAGCAACCGTCCCAGTGCAGTGTAGAAGGTGGTACGGCAACGCATGTCGCTCAAGCTTGATTGGCTGTTGATACCCAAGAAAGGGAAGTGTTCGCTCTGCACACACGCACACACACACACACGCGCGCGCGCGTGCATACACACGGACGGTATCACCTTGCACGTGTAATAATACCATCGGAGGTGGATCAGAGGTGGATGCCACTAATGTTTGTCACAGCGACAATGAACAGCTAAGATGCTGGGTTTTAACACGGATTACAGCTTCCCTGTGATTAAACTGGGTTCTGACAAGTATAAGTTGATAGCGTAAAGCTAGTCAGTGAAGACTCGTGAAAAAATTACCACATTAACCCCACAATAAAGCCCTTCAAAACCATATGCTTTTCCATTGGTTGGATCTGAAGACCCGTACAAGCATTGATGTGTAATTGCTCAGAAAAGATGGCTAACTCCCTTTGTGTAATATGATGTCTAGTATGAAGTCATGCATGCACACATACCAAACACTTGGGGGTGCATCCTAGAATTACATGTGATGTTCACTTAGTTTGGTGTATGATGGTCTGTGGGTGAAACGGTTTGGTTTGATTGCCACACAACACTCTTGGCAGGGTCTATAAAAAGTGCTCCAATATTGGTGATAATGGTAGCCGATTGAAGTAACTGCAGAAAGTTCTGTGCCAAGATTTTTGGAGATGCTATTTGACACAGGGATGTGCACTGCTATCTGCAAGACTGGCATATTTTCCCATTCGCATTTCTAATCGCATGCCCCGAATATGAGCGTTGGAGTATAAGAGAGAGAAAAAAACACAGCGTGGGCAGTGGAAATTGTTAGTGATGAATGAGCAGAACAGCTGCTTTGTAACAAAACCTCTTTTAAGCTACGCAGGAGGCAGAGCACGTGTCACAATGTATTTTGTACTCCACGTGCGAGTACTCACCGTGTGGTTTTTCAGCATGAATTGTACAGCGGTGAGCTTGACCAGTTTCCGCACGCTGCTGTAGGTGAGCCGCATTAAGGAAATTGAAGGGCGATCGCACGTCAACATGCGTGACACGCGTCAAAACACTTGGGGGTCTTATCAATGCCACGTCCAAATGTGGTCAGAGCGCCAACTTTTAAAAGTCAAACCGAAGCCACTATTCATTTGTTGGTAAAAATGTTTGGCAAACATTTCATAAACGAGGTGGCTAACACAGGCGACAGATGGTCTACAACCAGTGGTGGGGACATTGCGGCCATTTCGTACGGCACGTGGCCACTTGAGGCTTCCACTTCAAAACGGCGCGCAAATAATATTTATCTGGCAAAAATTCTTCATACGATTTGGTCACGCTCAGTCACTTTTATCCAATCGAGGGGCATCTTATAATATAATCGGTGGCCACATACGTTATTTTTCCGGTCGTTAAGACATAATGCTACAGTGCGTATGTATGTTGAACTGCTTTCGCACCGTATGTAGTCAACCATGCTAATCAGAGGTGCGGGGGAAAGACAACAAACTTAACACAAAAAGCAGTTCCAAAGAAATTATTTTTCAATCTAGATTTAAAAGTGGCTTCCTAATACAGGGTGCTTCGAAGAAATGTTAACACATCTGAGAATTTTCAATAACAGCACAAGAAATATGCCTCCGGCTCTGGAGACCACCTGAAGAAGATTCCAGGCACGTATTTGACAATGATGGTGAAAAAGTGGAGACTGACTTTTTGAAGCTATTAACATACATTTTTAGATTTGAAGCTTTCGTGACTGCAGGAATCCATACTCTCCGCTTCTTTCGGTAAAGTCACATAGGTAGAACCAGAGAGTAACATAAATTTGTTATCATGTTACAGTGTATTATCCATTCTTTTTCCATTAAAAACGATAATCCCATATAGGCGTTAATATTTTTGTGAAGCGTCCTGTATTGTGTGGCCTGCCAAAGGCATTGGAAAAAGTCCTATCATCAGGCTCTCAGTAAGGCGAAGGTTCCCCACCGCTGGTGTACAGGCAAAAGAATCGTGGCATTATCACGCACACAAAAGGATCCCATTAGAAATAGACGGATGTTCAGCCAGGCGCTATGACCTTACAGTTTACAAACATAAATTTCACCACATCCGACCCAGCACTTGGACACGCACGTGGCGATCTGAGATGTTATCTCGCTCGAGACGTGCTTGTCAGACCGAATTCGGATGTGTTTTACGAGGAAGCTGGCCTCGCTGACCTGCTACTTCCTCGCGCTGCGACCCCAACGTAAACACGGGTGGCACTCGGACAACTAGCCCAGGAAAAGGATATCCGACAGAGAGGTCGTTGAGGAGGTTGAGGGTCCTGGAGAGGATGGGCTCGCTCCGGCCCCAGTACTTCAAGTTCGTGATACTGCAGAACACATGACACTTGGCGCATGTAGGCTGTCATGACCGCCTCAAGCAGGCCTCGATGCATTCGCAGCGATGCTGTTTATTAACGACACTTCAGAAGCACTAAAACGTCTCGACAAAAAATTCATAACTTACGAGGGGCTGTCGAAAGTTTTGAGAACGGTATATTATTATTAGATTCATGCAGACTTGTGTTTATTACTTTATTTTTTTTCACTGTAGTTCTCTGTGCTAATACACTGCAATATCACACAGTGTATTATTATATGAAGAGGGCAACAAAACGGGGCTTCAGTAAGATTGCTCCCCTGCTCCAGAGATAGCCCTTTCAATATGAAGCTATCTTGACATCGGTTCAGTGGGATCTTTTTAAAGAATCATATGCATTGCCTTCTACCACAACAAGTAAAAAAAAAGTGCGCGCATTTTACAAATTCAAACAAAATAAAAGTGAAATAATAACAGTCTGCACAGGATATGAATCTTGGCTGGTTGAGTGCAATCGCTTGAACTCAACATCACCTGGTAAGAACTCGAATTGTAAAGACTAGTGTGATTCGTGTCTGAGACACGTACGTGTGCAATGAGCTGTGTGGCACAACGCTTGATACTTACATTTTACCGATGAAGACACTCAACACCATCGTCTCATCGTTTAGCCCAAGAACCTCCGAGAGCCTTTTGTAAACCTGCGTACGCCAATGACATTTCGTAAGGTCACGGTGTTACAATGATACCTTACAGGAGCATGTTAAGTCCCACAAGGTGGCATAACATGTTATGGTCAGAGTATCTCGAGTGTGCTGATGTGACATGCGCCCAGACAGAGGCAAATTCTACGATTTGCTCGTACATTTCAGACACGTGAAATATGGACGTGGATATTTATACGTACACTGAGTGGATTTTTTTTTTTACTCAGGCATAGTATGTGAACAAATGAGGGACAGTAACTGACATTTAACTAATTGTCCACCTTTCTTAGCAAGACATACTCAGAAACATACCATGGTATCACACGTACTCAGGCAAACACGCTTCATCCATGCCAAACTGGTGATGTCAGTTTCATGTATGTGTTAAACCAATGACTTATTAATTTTTCAGTATTAATTTATTTTTGTATGTGTGGCTGCTTAATTTGTGGAACTGTTCTTAGCTGAATGGATTGACCACTGGGTTTAATTTCCACTCATGTTGTATTAATGCTACCGGTTGATGGTAACGGAGGCACTCTAGAAAGCCCTGGCTGCTTCATTTATCCTCATGTTCATTGAACGACAAAGTGCTGCTTATATAGTTTGATATAATACTTCAACAATCATCAACACTTACTGTTCACTTCCATTAACGTTCATTACATATTTATTTCCAATGAAAGACTCCCATTAACAAAAATGTAACTTTACAACAGCTTGTTGCCAGAACTTATGCCCCGACCCCACAAAACACATTTGAAATGCTAAAAGGATTTCTCCCCTTGCTTCAATAGAAGGCCCTTTCAATACAAAACCATTTTAATTAGCTTAAACTGGCACATGCAATCACAGTTTGGCGGATGCGGGCAGTCAGTCGGGCAGACTGACAGGCTTGCATCTGTGCGGCCGTCTCCGTTTTTAAGATTTAAAGCTCAAGGGAAAGCGAGGCAGACACTGGGATTAAGCAGAAAAAGCAAACACAAACACAGGAAGGATAAACAAACATCAACAAACACGCCTCCAGCGGGCTCCCAGTCACAGCGGCAGCCACTGCCATTCGCTCGGCCTCATTCTCCCGACACCCCATCACTCCTCCGCGAGCCTTTATCTGGCATCGTGCCTCTGCCAGTCTACCTGATACCTCGCAGCCCTGCTTCGGAAACCACCCCCTCCAACCCAACCCCACTACTGCCCCCTTTAGTCTTCATTCCACGGCGTAAATGGCACACACCAAATATGTACAAGACAAATGAACTGGTAGGAAATACACACCAGACACGCTCTGTGGCGCAGTCCCCAAGCAATGTCTCCAGGTTATCCCGAATGACCAAAGAGAACCATCTGCAGGCTCATTCCAGTCCAGTGGAATACGAAGGATTACCCTCGCGCTTTACTATAGATTCACACAAAGCACTGCATGCAAAATTCTATAATAATAACAATGTCGTTTATTTACCCAGGGAAGACGATTGAGCCCAGATACTCATTTTCTAAAGATCTTGCATTTGGATGCCTGGCCAATTCCAATGTAAGGGATGTTGTTTCTGCTATTAGAAAACTCAAGTACCCAGAGAAAATCTATGAAATGAGAATACTAATAGGTCTGAACAGACAGGTTCATGAACCACCTTTGGTACTGCTATCTCCTGGCCACTTTGCAGTCCATTGGGTTTGGAAGTCTCACAGAGCAGTGTGATCCACTAACCCTCGTCTCCAAAGCACTGGATGGTGGGGATATTGCCAGTAGACGCATAGATTATTTTAAAAAATATATTTTTTTAAGTGCAGCAATAATATTTTCATTTGTGACACAAAATATGCTGAAAAAATATCCCAATTATTTAGAACTTTACATCAGCTAGTAAATAAAGTCAGATCTTAGTAACCTTCATTATAATTTCTAGTTTTAAATAAGACCAAGCAGTAAAACCAATACACAAGTTGTCTCAATAACAAATGTGTCAGAAGAATAACGCAATTAACAACCTAGTGCACCATCTCGTGCCGACGAGTGAGGTGAAATATGGTCAAACAACCCGCACGAATGGCGCAACGTGGGGAGGGAGGCCTTCACCCAGCAGTGGATTGCCAACGGTCCATGCATTACATTATTTTATGGAGAAAAAACTACGCAGCAGGCTAAAAGTAAGTTTAACCTCCGGCATGTAAATATGCTGCTATTGACCTCACCAGCAACGTCAATATCCACCAAATTAAGTAGCTGCGAGCTAAATAAGAGCACAGAACGTAATGAAAACGTGGAAGGTGTTAAGCAACAGCAATTAGAGAGGCAAACTTATTTCCTTGGGTCTTACTATTAATGAGCAATAAGAAGCACAGAGGCCCAATAGAGCCTTCAAACATGATTAATTGGCATAATATTCATCCGCACCAATCAGGATAATTAATCTTTGTAAATCTAATAAAAGCCCATCGCCTCAAGTCAGCCGGGTCCCCGGTGAGCTGGGAGGAGAGCTCGGTCGTTGAGTTGCTGTCAGGAGCAATACAGGAGGCGTCTGAGGGGCGGTGGCTAAGCTGCACGGTGCTGGTTCTGGCAAATGTCACCGTAACACGGGGCCTATTGCAGATGCTTTCAGAGCCCGCAAGCTCAATTTCAAGCGTCAAGTTCTAAAGACAACCCAACTGCCCGGTCTCGCGTTTCAGCCAGCGCCCCAAAAACGACGCTCTACACGGTTCCGAATGGCAAAGGGCGCTCCCGTGGAATTGAAGGTGATATGTTTTGTGGAGGAGAGAGATACAATTTTTTTTAGATATTCCATCAATACAAAGTGGCGATTTGTCTTAATTTGGCATGAATTATTTGAAGGGTTGGCATTGTCTTAACCTAATAGACGTCAATCACTGTTGTAAGATTGGCAAAGATGCAACGTTGATACCTGTCAAAGAGAATCACCTGCTCGACATCGCATCGGAAGCAAATTATTTAATGCACATTTGATCATTACGCGCACAGCGAAATTCGATAATGCACAGAGCATGCGCTTGCTTTTTAAATGCACGCCCACAAATCTGTGCAAATCCTGCTAAATTACTAAACAACGTATTAGCCTATACAGGTCAGAAGATGAATTGCTTTACAGCTGTTTAACATTCGGATTCAACGGTAATTTTCGGCACTAAAACCCGCAATTACTCTTCGGTATAAATCAGCACTTAATTACGCGTGCGAAATACCTCCACAGTCGCGTGAAATGAAAAGAAACGCGCATTGGCATGGACGAATCGGACAATGAAATTTGGCTACCGCACTAGTTTAATTTAAAGCCAACAACTGGATGGCATGGCTGGAAAAGAACCTGAACCCGGTATGAAATGTTAATGACCAGGACAAGCCGTCCGACTCAACAAGCAGCAATGTCACATTGAGCATCAGGCTCATAGCGTTTGTTTGGAAACTGTGGTGACAGTCGGGACATAATATCCGGTTAAAAGTTGGCAAATTCTAACCAACACTCATCCCAACTGGCAGTGGTTGATTGTCTTAATCGTGCCAGCTGTGTATACGGGCTGTGTGCCAGCGTTTTGTTTTCAAAGAGAAGAGACACACAAACACTTAAGACCATTGATTTTTATAATACGGAAGAAGGGTGGTCAGGTGTTAATACAAGGGCAATACGAGTTGTGAAAAGTGTCCCATCACATTATCATTACATCAGGATAATTTTCACATGAGAAATATGTGCAAGTCCACACACATATACCGGGAATCTTATTCATGTCGCATTTACCAATGTGCAGAAAATTAAGAACACTTTCCTACATTTCAGTTGTCACTGGAATTCAATTGTGTACAGCATCGAGGAGTAATGTGCATTTTTGCCAGGATATACTCGCATGGCCCAGCCCGCCAATCACACGACATCAAGCAGCCTCACCATTACAAGCTCAGCAGCACAATCGCACAAGCAATTAATATTTGACAAGCATGGCAACTAAAACAGTTGTCGTGCCTTTGAGGTATATATATACACCCATTTCAACCGTTAATTATCATTCATCAGTTTCAGAACTTAACGAAAGCAGGGCACACCAAAATGAAATAGCTTCTTGCAGGCATCGAGGCGTAACTTTTAGATTACTGAAGGCACACGCATATCTATTTTACTGCCCGACATCAGGGGCTCCATACAACACCAAAAGTAAGGAAGCCCTGTCCATTATGTGCATTCCTTGTATTCCTCTGTGCATAGGGTCATAAATCAAAATAGTCGCATAAAGACACGTGCAGTATAAATATTAAATAAAACAGTCATGCTGATAAGGGGGATATTATTTTAGGAGGCGCTTAAACTTGCGCTGTCGCTCAATGCTGGCAACTGAGTGACGTGCATATAATTACGGCGACAGTCGCCGGAATTACGTGATGTTTCGCTCCGTGACAGCGCCGTTATTAAACTCGCAGCTCAGCCGCGCTCTCGCCGCGCACAAGGTGAGAAAGGGGAACGGAGAGGGGGGGGGGGGGAGAGGCGGAGGGGTGGCGGCCTCCCGAACCGACGCACTTCCCAAGCACGGACACAAAGAACGGGGCCGTCCGTAGTGCACTTCCAGCGCAAGGTGCAGAACGATTCAACAAGCGCCGCGCAGCGACAGGCCGAGCTGCGTTCTTTACACAGCATTAGCCAGAAACATTTTTGAATGTAGCTTAACAGTGTAATTGGGCTGACTGAGAGCGACACGTGAAGACAATTAGAATGCACTCACTTTGAGCGAGCTGTTCCCTTTATAAATCAATAGCAAATTCCCTTTGCCCTTTCACCTTGAGTATTGACCCAACATCTGCCTACGAACTTAAATTTCAGCTTCTTAATCCGGAGCAAGAGGTCTATTTTTTCTGGAATAACCGACCTATGTGTTTTTCCAGCAGACGTCATAATGATATATACTAATGCATAAACAGCTATTAATTTAAGGTGACACGACTACGGCTTTACCATTCAAAATGGCCATATTTGTACCCGACATTTTCTGCA